GACAAAAAGGAAGATCACGGCTGGGGTATAAAAAAAAAAAAAAAAAATTAAAAAAAAAAAGCGCCTTTTCACAGATACGAGATCAGGTCCCCGGCCCCTTCGCTCCCCGACGGCAGGAAGCACAAAAGAGAAAAGAAAAAAAAAACCCCAACCCACAAGACGAGGAGGCGGCGTGGGTGCAGCGGCACGAGGGACGCACCACGGGGCACAAGCGTCTCTCCCTCCCCGCGAGCCGGGCAGGAGCGTGGCAGGGAGAGGGGTCGCACACTCCGGGCTCACTTGGGCTCTCCTCCAGCCCCGTGGGGAGGCTGCCCACATCCAGATGTGCTGGCAGATCCCGGCAGCCCCTTCCCCCTTTCAGGAGGGATGCGACGGCCCCTGCTCTTCCCCTTTGGGGAAGGGGCAGGGGCCGTCGCATCCCTCCCGAAAGGCCACCGTGCCCCGGCCGCTCCATCTGGGTCCCATCTGCTGCTGTTGGCTCCCGTCCCTTCCCCCAGCCCTAAACTCAGATGTATTTAAACACACACATCAAAGGCACCGGGCAGCCCCCGGGGAGCCCCAGCTCGCAGCACATTTCCTTCTATTAAGCCTGAAAGCCGGGGCGCAAGCCAACTCCAGCGCCGGGGAGAGAGCAGGAACGTGCCTCGCCTCCCGCCGGCCCAGCTCAGCTGGAGCGGGGAAGGTGATGGAGGGGGCAGCCGGGGTGAATTCACCCCGGTTTCACCTCTTCAGTGGCATTTTGGCAGCAGCTTTGCCCCCAAACATCCACGGGGCAGGAGCAGTCCCACTGGGCATCACCTCTGCGGTGATGGGGAGCAAGCCAGGTCCCCACCGAAAACGGCTTGGGGAGGGTGGAGAAGAGGAAAACTAATTATCCCTTCAGATTTGCAAGTTTGGGGTAGTTTTTTTCCATCATTTCCAGCAAGAATTCTCCCAGGTCCCTAAGGCAAATGCCACCAGCGCTGGGGCCAGGCCACGGTACCAACCGGGACACGCAGGATCCCACCAGAGCCACCGACTAAAGGCTCAGGGGAGGGAGCACGGCTGAGCCCAACACTAAAACCCCAGAAAAATCCCACATTTTCTCAGCGGCAACGACAGCAGCTCGGTCGGAGGCGGCACCACGGCGCTCAAGGACGCAGGGGAGGGACAGGAACGGGGGGACACGCGGGTCTCGGCGGGCACCTACTTGCTTGAACTGCTCCTCGTAGGTCCAGTCGCCGTGGTCGGGCGCCGGGGGCGGGGGCTGCGCGTGGCCCAGGCCGGGGGGGAGCCGCTCCTGGCCCCCCGGCAGCCGCTGGGGCTCACCCCGGTAATGCTGGGGGGCCGGGGGCTTGCGGAGCAGCAGGGACCCCGCGCCCGCCCGAACCGCCTCCGCCGAGCTGAGCCCTTCCTCTCCCATGTCTTCCTCCTCCTCATAGTCTTCCTCTTCCTCCTCCTCCTCTTCTTCCTCTTCTTCCTCCTCCTCGCCCAGGTCCTCTTCAAAGTCATCTTCGTCCCACTTGCCCTTCCTAGAACAGGGGGGAGAGGAGAGCTGGTCCCAAGCCAGGCAGGGGGCTGGGTCCCCAAAGTCAATCCCCCTCCCCTGCCCCACAGGCACCCCACAGCCGTGGGGCTGAGAC